CTCCTACAACTAATGGCCTGGGCCCCTCCTCTACAAAGGTGCCAACTGAAGGTGTTGGAGAACAAAGAGATCAGGTGACCTCCTGGCCCCGGAAAGAGACAAAGGCAGAGGAAGGGCTGGAGAGTTTCAGTTTGGAGCTGGCTGGGAGGCCAGACAGACCTCCTGGCTTCCCCTGGCCCCCCAAGATGGACCTGACTGAGGGGGTCCTATTGTGTGTACTTGCAAGATCTGTCTTGGACCGTGTTCCTGTCATCTAAATAAACCTGCTTTACTGGCTGGCTGAGAGTCATGGTGAGTCGCAGGAAGCCGGGGGTGCAGGGCCTTTCCTCCCCCAACTCCGTGACAGCCCTATAGGCATTTGTTTAAAAAATGAAACCTTAATTAAAGTGGCCTGTTACCCCGACAAAGGTCAAAGAGAAATGAGGATGGTGTTGAGTTACTTAGACTTGGGGGAGGGACCATCTTTTTGCTCTGTGTTTGTACCGCCTCTAACAGGATGCATGGGGGCCTGGTCCCCGGCAGGGCCTCCTGGGGGCTGCGGCTATACAAATAGTCATAACGCTTGGTTGGTGTTCTGGTTTTGATGCTAAGCGTCATGCTGTGCACAGTGTGGCCAGAGGTGCTGCCAATGCTGCACAAGACTCTCACCGATGTTCAGTTGAGTTGACAGAACTGTTGTGGGCATAGATCACACCTGTGCAGCCGTGAAGGGATGAACGCCAGCCAGTGGGGGGTGATGCTAGGAGCATTTCACAGTCTCTGAATGCTGAGTAGATTGGAACCCTGGCCAATCGGAGCTGCATTGGGGTAAGAGAAAGATGAGCCGGTGATGCTGCTTTTGTGCGTGAAACAACTCTGGCTGCAGATTACACTCTGTGCCCAGCGCCTGGTATTTGACCTGCCTTGGACTGGGAACAACAAGGGCTTGATAAATGGACTGAACGGAGGCCAGTATTGCTGACTTGCTAACAGGCTTCCTGCTCCTTCCTGTAGCCCCCTGCCAGCCCCTGGGAAACACTTCAATTTCTGAGCAGGGAGAGCCCCCGAGTCAGCGATCAGCAATGCAATTCCTGGCCACATTTCAGCATCGCTGCCCCTTTTGCCTGCCTCACTTCGCTCCATTTTGCACCCAGGCCCCCTGGTTGTTGCGGCCAGCACAGTGGTCAGGGAACCCAGCCGGGTCTCACGTGCCTTGATGACAGCATGCAACGAGTTTGACAAACCCTGCAATGGCATTTAGCCCTTTACCCCTGCCAGGAGGCTGCATGCGGCATTTCGCTATAGGCTTCTTCCTGATGCAGCACCCATTGCTTCTGGCTGTGTTCTCCCCACGGCCCCAGGCCGGACACAGCGGAAAACACATTCTCCAGCGGCGAGGCCCTGAGACATGGAGGATTTCGGCTAACGTTTTCGGAAGCATCAAGTGATTCAGGAGGCTAAATCCCACTGGCTTTCAATGAGACTTAGGCTCCTAAGTCACTTCTGAAAACTTTGCCCTTAGCCCCTGTGTGCTCCCCCACCCCGGCTCCCAGTCAATACGCTCTACAGCACAGTTGGTATCCGAGTGCTGGTCCTTCTTTTGGAAAGAAACATGAGCTTGTCTGTTGGTTTCTGGGTGCTCACGTGGTCCCCGAGTGCCTTTCTCTGCTCGAAATGCTGCACAGAGCAGGTCTGAGAGCCAAGGGAGCTGTGATACTGGACTTGACTAGTCAGTGGGCAAGGGTCCTCCTAGGGAGGAGGAGGAGATCCGTGCAGCGTATTCTGAGCCCCTCTTCACCTCTCGCTCTTCCGGGTGTTCACAGGGGCGTTCTCCCTCGCTGCATTCGGCCTTAACCCAAAGACCAGGTCAGCTGGGATCCACTCTTGGATGGTTGGGCCCTCATTTCACTCTCTTCCCTTCTGCAAGCAGCGACAGCCTCTGCTCTTGCCAGCTGGACACAGCGGCCACTGCGCGGTAGATCAGGCAGGGCATGTGGTGCTGGCGGAGAAGAGGCAGCTCCTCCATGGAGTTGCTGAGTGCCACAGACCCTGGAGAACGGCCTCCCCAGGTTGCTCTGAAGTCTGCCTGATAAATAGCAACAACCCCCCCGCCCCCCTCCCCGGGTGCGTGCAGTGTGGGAATAGGTAAGCGTGCACAGCGTCAGAGGCTGGCCTGGGGATCGAAACGTTCCCTCTTGCAGTCAGAACGGTTTCCTCACTGTTCAGATGTGCCGAGGAGCTCGCCAGCTCCTCACGAATACCGGGTGCAGCTTGCTCTCTCTCTCTCTCTCTCTCTCTCTCTCTCGGAGATCTTTTAAAATAGCTCTGGGCACCTCCCAGCACTGGGTCCTGACCGATACCCCTGTGATCCGTGCTACTGCTGGGTGAAATTATCCCAGCCCCCAAAGCAGGGAGCTGTATGGGGGCAACTCAAGCCAAGAGAGTGGCTTTGTTGCCCATAAGGGGAGCTTGTGCAAGAGCTGCTCTTCTCCCTATGGTGCTTGGCTGCAGCAGCCTGTGGAGTAGCTGCTTTGCCAAGTGAAATTCCAGCTGGGAACGAGACGTACGGCAGCTCTGAGGTGCATCCCAGGGCAGCTGATGGCTCCTAGTTTCACGTCTATACGGCAGAAGTTTTGAGGGGTAAAACACCGAGAGGTTTCCGAGTTATCTCCCCTTTGATGGAGAAAGGAATCCCGCGCAGCAGGGCTTTCTGGGAGGCTTGCAGTAGCCCTGGTATTGCTCTGCTGTGAGGATGGGGGTGAAGCAGGGATTGGGGGGCCCAGGCAGGGGGTGTCTGCACGTCACGGAGCCCAGTGCCCATGTGCTGCGCAGAGGCGCAGCTGCAGAGTGGGTCTGTTCCCATGGAGCTGTGCTGTGTCCGCGGGTGTCGTGGTGCTGGGGACCGAGAGAAGAACCCGGAGAGGCAGGCCCAGGATTTCAGCCCGGGCTGGTCTCGCTCCGCTGTCCCGAGGAAGGCAGCACCGCAGCAGAGCATGCTGGGAACGGTTTAGTCACGGAAGTGGGACAGCGCGAGGAGGTTTGTTAAAGAAACGAAACGGCTGAACATGCCCACGCTCCCCAGCGCCTCCTCTGGCCCGTGGGGCGTGTGCTTTAGTTAAAGGCTTTCCAAACCCCGATTCCAACCGAAGCCAGTTCCCCAGGGTGATTGCGGGTACCGATCCACGAGCTCAGAGCTGAGCAGGGATCAAGCAACGGCCGGTTCACAGTGCTTCACAGCCGTGGGTCCAAGTGACTGCTCAATCTGTTCCTTAACAAATGCTGGCGCCACGTGAGTGCACCGAGTCCCACTGAGCTGCCAACCCTTGTGGGAGGAGTTGTGCGTCTTTTCTTCTGTTCCTGTAGGGTAGCCGTTAGGGGTGAAAACATTACTACAGGCAGCTTGAAAGCCACAGCTGTCAGGAGGCCTGGCTACTGGAGAGTGAGGTTCTCACTCACTGATGCTTCTGTCATGCAGGTGAAATGGGAAAAGCTAGGGCCCTTCGCCACCAGCCTCCGGACGCCCTTCCTCCCTGCGGGGCGATCAGCTGCCTGGCAGGCGACCTTCCGCACTTGCATTATCCGCTGTCATCTGTCAAAGGAGTGGAAACCGTAATGAGGTCTCTGCGTATCAGAGCTGTGGGCTCGGTCTTCACATTGCTTGCCTCTTGCGTGTGCACTGGAGACCTCGCGCCAGTTGGCTTCGGGTCACTGGGAATGTTACGGGAGGAAGGAGATGGCAGAGGCAATTCTGCTTTCAGGTTTCCCTGCCTCTGTTCTTTGTCTGCCATGTAAGCACTTAAAGATGCTCCCAGGCAGCCTCTCTCCCTGCTGCCTCTGCTCAGCACCTTGCAATCTCAGCAGTCCCTGAGCCTTAGCAGCGAACAGGCCTTCTGGGGCCTGCGGGGGGACCGGAGGAGGAGACCCCATTAGACCGTGCGGGTGGGAGACTGAGTGGATTTTCATGCTGATTTCATAGAATCATAGACTCTCAGGGTTGGAAGGGACCTCAGGAGGTATCCAGTCCAGCCCCCGGCTCACTGCAGGACCAACCCCAACTACTGCAATTTGCATGAGACCGAAAGCCCTGACTACTGGTACAGCATAACGGGGCTGGGCAAGCTTCCTCCAGGCCACTATCCCAGCGCCCTCAGTTCTGAGCCGCAGCGAAGGCCGTTGTGTTCTTGAGCTCCGCCTGGCACAGGGCGTTGTCCAAGTGTCAGTTGCCACCAGCGCCATCCCGGCTGCCTCACGGCAGAGACTCGGTTGGTTTAGCGTTTGTCCTGCCAGCGGCACCATGGGGAGCCCGATGGGAGGTCAAGAGGAAATCTCCCGCCGTGGCTTGCTGTGCTCAGGTTTAGATTGCATTGGGGGCTCCCCAGCTCCTACCCCTGCTGCCCACCCGGAGCTGAGGGTTGGGACCTTCTGCTGGTGAAGTGAATGAGACGAGAGAGACCAGCCTCGCAGCTGCTCTGCTGGGCTCTGACACGTTGCCTCCGAGGGGAGGGCCCAGCCAGACCTAAGGCCTTGGGCTGGGAGGGAGTGCAGGGTTGAGGCTGGAATGACCAGTGCGCAGAGGCAAGTGAGAGTGGAGGTGGGGATCCTCGCAGACAAGGAGGTAGCAGCAGCAGGCTTGGAAAGTGCCTCACTGGCTGGGGAGAGGGATCCCTCCGAGCAGGGCCTGGCTGTGATCCCCACCTTCGTTTTCTGCCCACTAGGTGCAGAGTGAATTGCAGCCTGCCCTGGCGCGGCGATGACTCCCTGTCCAGGCAGCTGGGAGCGCAACGCTTGGGGCCAAGCGCCGTGTTTGACAGAATCACCGGGGGCCTGGCAGCACGGTGATTGCTGCTAGCATTGCAGCCTGGCAGAGGAGACTGAGCAGTGTGTGTGTGTGTGGGGAGGCATGTGAGGGGAGAGGGCCTTTTGAAGGACACCCCCCACCCCCCCATGCACTGGCTCCTGTTGCTAGAGAGAATCGCGTCCCCTGGAATCTCTTCCTAACAGCCTTCCTCCTTCTCTTTCAGAGCCATCATCAACCACTTCAACCCAAAGATCGAGTCTTACGCTGCAGTGAATCACATCTCCCAGCTCTCGGAGGAGCAGGTAAGCTGCACACCTGATGGCCCTTTCAGGTGATTCCCGCAAGCATGTTGCCCTGAGCGGTGTCAGCTGGAGCGTTAATGTCCAGGCTTCCCCCTCTGCTCGTCACTCTCGCTAGGCTGGTAACGCAGCAGCGGCTTCAGTGGTACGCAGGGAAGGGGCCAGGCTGGCCGTCCCAGGACTGTTTGCAGATCACGGCTGCCTGTCCATGCAGAAGGGAGAGCAGGTGGGGAAGAAGATGAGGTCACGTTGGCAAGTGCGGTGGGTGGCTCTCGGTAGTTCTGGTATTTGGAAATGCGCAGTGGGATCTTGGCAATGGCTCTACCTGCTAATTAGAGAAACGCTGAATGCAGCTTAATTTGAGCCGCTGTTGGGCTCATTAGAACATATGCTGCAGTTGGTAGAGATTTTCCAGGATAATTTAATTCACAATGCCCTGAACAGCTCTTCTGCGGTAGATTTTTAAACAGGAAGGTTTTCGTAGGGAGGGCTGATTGTTAGGGGCTTTTTCCCTGTAATCTAGTCTGATTTCTCCTCCTCCTGTCCAGCCTGAATTGCGTAAGTGTGGAAATGGGGCCTCCCAAGGGCAGGGTGATGCTCGCGGCCTCAGGAAGGGAAGAGGTGGCCTATTTTCTGGGATAAAATATTCAGGCTCGTTTGAAGCGCTGCTAGGAGAAGGAGCATTGAGGGCTGTGCGGGACGAGGTGCGGCAGTGGCACTCGCCAGGTGCCAGTGCACTGGTATCCTGCGCCGGGCCTGTCAGAGCAGAGACCTGGGTCGTGCTGGACTGGCACTGAGCCCCTCTTCACTTGCGACGCTCTCAGGATATGAACCCACGGCTTGGTCTGGAAAAGGCCCTGACCGCTAGCCCCGTTCTTCCCATCCTCCCTCTCTCTCCTCCTGGGATGCTTTGCCTGGAGCCTGAGGCTCACCCCCCTCCGCTGTCCTTTCAGCAGCACCCAAAGGCCCCCGCAGGGTGTTTGTACAATGCCCAGGAAGCCAGGCCCTGCTGCCTTTCACTCTCTCCTTGCTCGCACTAATCTACAGTTTCTGCAGCGGCTAATTTGCTCAACTCGATTTCCTCGCGTTACTCTGCCGCCGAGAGTCCCATGTTCTGTGATGTTTCATGCTCTGTCTCCCCATTCACTTTCTGTACATCATCCGATGCCAAAAGGGGGGGGGGGGGTCTCGGATGGGGGAGGCGTCTGTGCCGTGTTTGGGTTCATATGTGAGTCTGAAAAAGGAAGGGCACTTTTCGCTGTCAGCACAGCACAGCGTAGCGCTCCTCCCCCAGCAGATCAGGGAGGTCACGCTGAATTCTTTCTTCTTCATACGCTGTGCTTTAACTAAAATCTCCGGCAGCAGGCAGCTCATGAAATCAGTTCTGACGCGCTGGGAAGTTTGAGGGAGATGATTAGGAAGCAGAAAGATGGTGTGAGTTCTTTTGGTCAAAGTTTAGCTTCCCCCTGAAGCAGTGAAAGCATCAAGGAAAAGCTAAACAATTCCAAGCCCTGGTGAACTGCACAGGAGGTGGAAACCTCACAGTGGTGAGAGGCCCTGAACACTGATGAGTGCGGGGCGTGGCCCCTACTGTGCGATTTACTGCACCAGATGATTGCGTTAAAGCCAGAATGTCAGACTCATTTGGGGGAGAGAGGCAAATTCCACTCTTAAGTGGAGTCCATGAGCTGGGGTACGTATCGAGGACCACGCACTCCCTTCAATCTGCAGCCATCTCCCATGGATGGCGGGTGGGGGCTGCACAGACATCAAGGGTAGAATCTGACTTTTCTGTAGTAACCGAACTCCCAGTAATTGTTGGGTATTTGTTCAGTACTTTGGGGCACTCAACATCATTCAGTAGGGAAGTCGGTTCGTTGGTAGGGCTGCTGCAATTTCTGCCTTTAGTTTCTCTTCTTTCTCCATCCTCCTTTCTTTGCGTTTCTCTCTCCCCCGCCTTTATTTCCTGCTGCAACTCCAAATTGCCACCCCCTTCTGCATCCAGTCAAACGATCAGCGATGAAATGTTTAATGCTGACATTTAAAGCACAGTCATTAAAGTTTAGAGTCAACGCGCACAGGTTAATTTGGGGACTGGGTCGCTCCAGCTCCAAGCTCTCGTTCCAGGCTGTCTTGTAAACTCGCAGGGTAGCTCTGCAGAGGTTCGGCTCAGTTCACATTTCGACGTTGGTTTTCACAACCACGAGGGCTAGAAACGTTTTCTGAAATGAAAGCTTGGATTCTACACTGGATCTAGACTGTTCTCAGTGCTACCTGATGACAGAACAAGGAGTAGTGGTCTCAAGTTGCAGTGGGGGAGGTTTAGGTTGGATATTAGGAAAAACTTTTTCACTAGGAGGGTGGTGAAGCACTGGAATGGGTTCCCTAGGGAGGTGGTGGAATCTCCTTCCTTAGAGGTTTTTAAGGCCCGGCTTGACAAAGCCCTGGCTGGGATGATTTAGTTGGGAATTGGTCCTGCTTTGAGCAGGGGGTTGGACTAGATACTTCCTGAGGTCCCTTCCAACCCTGATCTTCTATGATTCTATATTCTACAGCATGCGAGTGTCTGTCTCTGCTCCTATGTGGGCTCCCCTTTGTTCTGGCACCTGTGCACCTCCCACAGTCCAAGGGGGCATGGGCTTGCCACGACTCTTACCCCGCTGCAGTGTTGTGTTCCTTCCAGTTCTCCTGATCTCCCCAGCTCGGGGGCTTCTCTGGGGCCCGAGAGAGATTCCCCTCCCCTTTGCATGTCCTGGAGGAGTTTTATTTCTTATATTTGCTTCGTTAATGTCCTTAAAAGTATCTAAGTGATTGGCTGAAATAGGTTTTGCTGGGTCTTGTTCTTTCCGTAAGTCTAGTGAAGGCTTTATTAGCTTGTTAATCACTAATGTCCATTTCTTACCATTCTCAGTCTGCTGTCTAAGTGCTCTCTCTTCTTGTTTACTGATGAGCATTCATGTTAACATGCAGCAGACTCGCTGCATCTTATTTTATTTGCAAAAGCCGCCAACTTTCTACTCAACAGAAGCCATTAGAACAGCACTGGGCCCAATGGCTGAGAAAACCAGCAAGGACATGATGATCCAGGAAGCGCTCCAGGGTAACCAGCTACAGCCGGGCAGAACAACTGCACAGTTTTGTCTGACCCGAGCTGTGGAGAGCGTCACACCGCTGGCCTTTCTTGCCGAAATACCAGGTGCATATCAGCTGCACTCTGGCTGGACCGGCTGTCTCACTAACACTGTTCCTAGAGCTGCTCAAGTGAGGGGGGAAGACCTAAGTCCTGAGCTCTCCTTGGAGCCAAAATGCCCACTGATCCCTCCCAGGACAGGTGTGTGTCGTACCAATCTGCTGGAGAATCCGGACAGGAAACTGCAAGGTCAGATCAGGTTCTTGGCACCATTCCCGCTATAATCATCACTGCGGGGTTTTTAAACTTGTCCTGCAGAAGTGCTGACACCTACTTGTGGTCCTAAGCAGCTGTATCGTTTTGTAAGAGACGGTGCCCCTTCCCCTTCTTGACCACAGCAGAGACATCCGGGAATGCAGGTCTGGAGTACAAGGCCTGTTACATGCATAGTGGGTTGAGCAGGGCAGGCTGCTGGGAACACCTGTGTGGCGTGCATTAGCCTGATAATTGCGGGGAAAGAGGGCTAGCAACCAGAACAGATTGTGACTGCAGAGCAGAACTACTGCATCAGCTTTGAAAGCATGGCAAATGAGGGCACCGCTTGGCTTGTTCCGCGGCATAACAAGCTTATCATTCCGTGAGCTGCAATCCAGCTTCCATTCGGATAATCTCAGAAGGCCGTTTTTCCTCTGGCTCAAATCATGCTCCAGCTGTTCTCTTACCCCCCCGATCCCCCCAGTTCTTGCATTTAATTGGCCCTCTGTTAGCAGGCAGGGCTCTGAGGGACTAATCCAAAGTACAGCTCAGGGAGCCTCCACCACTGACTTAGACAGAAAGCCACAAGGCCGCGTGATCAGTTTGAGATGCCCTGAGCTATGCTAACGGGGGGAGCCATCGTTGCTATGGTTTAGTCCATTTGCTTTGCTTCCCACACTAGGGGAAAAACTCCAAGCCATTATAATAAGCCGTGTCCCATCATAGCAACGCCTTGCAGTGGCACTAGAGCCAAGGGTCTGTTGGCGTACGTGTGCGTTTGATTGGCTGGTGTTTTTAAAACACCCCGAGGATTAAACCTGTTCTGTCATTGGAATCTCATCATAACGTCCCACGTTAACATAGCACCTTGGGGAAGCTCTTTAAACACGGTATGTGCAAGAACCAGATCGCTCCTGAAATGCAGCCACCCCTGGGGTAGAAGGCAGCAGTCCAGTGGCATGCAATGCAGTGCACAACTGTGTGTGTGTGTGTAACTTCAGCTGGGGAGACTGGGGCAAAACCCAGATCTTAGATCTGTAACGTCCACGCAGGAGAGGCAGGAATGTTGGGTTTGATGGTGTCGTTGTAAACACCCACACATGAATTGCTTGAAAGGCGACTGATCATTGCAGTGTGAAGAGACCTGAATCCCTGGTTCCAGGGAGTCAGTGTAGTTCAGATGCTCCCGCTAACCCATCCAGACTGGCAGTGATGGATCTGGTGATAAGGTGGCTTTGCAGTTTGTTAAATTGCCCCCTCACCCCCACGTTTTGTAGCATACACTAGGAATGATGCCCTTGGGCAGCTTTAAGGCAGTGAGGCAGGGCTGACTGTATCTGGGCAGAATTCAGGCAAAAATGAGTGCAAACCGGAGTTAAGCTACAGAGCAATCACTTAGTGCTGTTTAGTGCCTTTCATTAGGCTAATGCATTGAATGCAATTAAACAAGCGTCCCTGGAGCAGTGAAAGGCGCAGCTGAGCTGTGCCGGAAGGACAAGGGAAAGGCTCTGTTCTCAGAAGCGTCCATTGAAGGATGGGGAGATCTGACCCGTCCCACCCCAGCAGTCCCAACATAAAATGGAAGCCCCCCCACAAGCCCGCCCGCCTCCTGGAGGCT